TTTTCAGAGAGGAAGGGAGAGAGAGAGAGAAACATCAATGATGAGAGAGAATCATTGATCGGCTGCCTCCTGCACACCCCCTACTGGGGATTGAGCCCGCAACCCAGGCATGTGCCCTTGACCAGAATCAAACCAGGGACCCTTCAATCTGCAGGCTGACGCTCTATCCACTGAGCCAAACTGGATAGAGGGTGGACTGTTTTGTTTTTAATGCAGGGTTCACATAAGGGTGTGGCAAGATTGAGAGTTGCAAAAGCAACTTGTAGGTGGCTTTGAATGCCAGACAAAGGGACTTAAACTCTACTGTCCACCATGGAGAGCCAACAGTGTTTTCTGATGGGATTTTAAAGTCCACTATAAAATCCAGAAATAAGTCATTTGGCATATCCAACCTATTCATCAAGGTCTAAAAATTATAGATAAATACTTCTGATTTACATGGAGTCTGGCTGACAACCCTTGATATGTCCTTCCCTGATTCCTAGCTAAAATACTTATAAATTCATAGAAAAGTATAAGACCCACAAGCCATCAAATAAATAAGACTTGCAGGCAACTATTACTAGACTCTGAGAAGTATTTCAACCAAATATATGGTTCACAAACATGGGTTAAAGTTTTTGCTTGAAGGGCCTCAGACCCTGGTCTGAAGAACCACAAGCCTGAGCAGCCAAAGGCTGTTTATTCCCTGTCCTTACTCTTGCTGCTTCCTCTAACCTACCAAATTTTTTCCATTTCTTTAGACTGAAACTCCCAGAAAACACTAAGGCAAGAACTAGATAGTGAATGATGCATTCCTTCCTCTTCTCTTGCTGCACACTATGGGAAGACCTCTTCCCTTCCCCGAGGGTGCTTAAAAAATCACATGAAGGCCCTAGCCGGCTTGGCTCAGTGGATAAAGCGTCAGCCTGCGGACTAAAGGGTCCCAGGTTCGATTCCGGTTAAGGGCACATGCCTGGGTTGTGGGCTCAATCCCCAGTAGGGGGTGTGCAGGAGGCAGCCGATCAATGATTCCTTCTTGTCATTGATGTTTCTATCTCTCTCTCCTTCTCCCTTCCTCTCTGAAATCAATAAAGAAATATATATTTATTTTTAAAAAATCACATGAAGAAAGAGTGGGGGGGGGGGCAGATATCCAAATCCCAAAGGAAGAACACACTCCTGAAAATGCTTTACTTGGGACACTCAGGAGAAATTCTAAGAATTTGTTTGGGAGCCAAGTAGATACTGTCTAATATTGTCCAAGAGCTGTCCCCTCAGTGATACCCGAAGCAGAAGCCACTAGGAAAGAAAAGATCAAGAATGCAAGGCAACAGGAAGAGTTCTGAAAACAACAAACCAAGTGCAAAAGAAGCTGGTTGGAACAGGGAAAACTTTTAAGAAAACTAAAATTGCAATAACAGAATTGAAACTCATATGGAAGATGGTAAAGAGTGGAATTCACATTGCAGAAATCAAATAAGGAATAGGGTTGGGGAGAACATGCATACTGCATCCTCTACGAAGGCCAGGTAAGCAGGCAGGTAAGAACAGCACGTGATTAGCATGGCACTGGTTGTGATAAACATGTGATAACAGGCAAAGACCTGTGAGATCAGCAATGCAATTACATGAGTGGTGACTCCTCATCTGCATGAAGACCCTGTCAATGAATCAAGACTCAATCAAGCAGCAAAGAAGTTGGGAAGGAAGTTAACTACAACCTTAGTAGGAGTATTACTAAACTAAAGGCGAAAATTGAACTTGGGAAAGGACACTCCTCACTAAAGGGTTTTGACTCATAGTCCTGTTTGGTCTTAGCTACAACAGAAAAATAAATAGTATTTCCTTGTGAGGAAACACAAAGATACATACAGCCCAGGTTGAAATCCTGTCACTATGTGACCTTGGTCAAGTTACTATATATATATATAGTATATATATATTCCTAATGGTTACAAATATGTGGTTACAAATAGGTAACGTATTATCTACTTAATCTATGATTGCTAGTGGGTCAAATACTTCATACTCACTGTCTCCTTTAATCTGCCCACCAGAGTAAGCCAGATTTTATTTGATCCCCATTTCACAGATGACAAAAGAAAGTCACAAAAAGATTACACTGCTCGTTTGAACTTTGACCCAATCCTGATGGACTACGGAGCTGACACGCTTAACTTGTAATTCCTCTGGCTACGTGGTTCACTTGAAGTAAAAATCAAACATTAACCGCCTCCACCAAAACCCTAACCCAAACCAACTCTGCACCCACCAACGAAAATCTGCCAAGTTCTACTTTACGATCATCCCAGGGAAGAGTAAGTACGAAAGCAGCAGCAAGAGAAAGTCGCCCGGCTTGAAAAGGCGTGTCGAAGACCAGCTAATGGAATGACAGGTTAGCTATTTGAAGCAACACTCGCATGTTGTAAGTTCTGTTCTCGGGGTGGGAATGTGATGCTGTGTGTATGATCTTACACGGAGAGGATCTAATTCATATGATGCCGTCAATATAAGGAAGCGAATCTTACACGCATATGGGGAGCACATTGTTCTGAATGAGTTGAGACTTTTCCCGTGGACTGGGCCCCAGACTAGTGGTTCTTAGCTTTTTTTGTGTGTGTGAGAACGTATTTGAAAATATTAATGTCATCTATAGTCTCTCTCTCTCTCTCTCTCTCTCTCTCTCTCTTTCTCATCTCTGTCTCTCCAGAAAATAAAAACACATCTATTAACATCTGTACAACATTTTGTGGGATATCTATTTACTTTTATTCAGGGATCTTTGAAATCTTTCAGATACACTGCTGGCTTGAGGTTGTGACTTAAATTTCCCTTTTGCTCTACCTTTTGCAGAATGTTCTTTTTTTTAAAAAAAAATATATTTTATTGATTTTTTACAGAGAGGAAGGGAGAGAGATAGAGAGCTAGAAACATCGATGAGAGAGAAACATCGATCAGCTGCCTCCTGCACATCTCCCACTGGGGATGTGCCCGCAACCCAGGTACATGCCCTTGACCGGAATCGAACCCGGGACCCCTCAGTCCGCAGGCCGACGCTCTATCCACTGAGCCAAACCGGTTTCGGCAGAATGTTCTTTAAAAATAATATTTTTATTGATTTCAGAGAGGAAAAGAGAAGGAGAGAGAGATAGAAACATCCATGATGAGAGAGAATCATGGATCGGCTGCCTCCTGCACGCCCCACACTGGGGATGGAGCCCGCAACCCGGGCATGTGCCCTGAACGGGAATTCAACCGTGACCTCCCAGTTCATAGGTCGATGCTCAATCACTGAGCCACACCGGCCAGGAGTGAAATATTTCCATCATCAGCAAGAAGCACACTATTTCGACTACTTCTGCTTTGTGATATTTACAGTCTTTTTAGGCACGAATCCCAAAAGGCTTTGCTTGATTCCCTACCTCTTATTGAGGATTTCGCAACAGGAAGACAGACATGCCATGTTCAAGCCCATCCACACAGGAACGTCCCTTGGGCAGTGGTCTCTGCCTATGTTACCAATGAGTACGCGCACACACGCAACACACACACACACAGACACACACACACAGAAAGAAAGAAATAGCCACCACGCATCTGGCCAGGATCTGCAATGCTTTATGGCAGGGGAAATTCCTACCTCGCCCCGGCTGCTGAACAGTTATGCCCCGGAGCCCAGGATGGGGGACAGGCCTGGTAACTCTTTAACCCAGTGAGTGGGCCTGCCAACATTATTCCTATTCACATACATGTCTAATCCGCTCTTGAATCTTGCTGCGCTATTTGCCTCAATAATATCCCGCGGCAGCGAATTCCACAGGTACATTATACGCTGTTTTAGAAAACCATTCGCTCTTATTCGCTTTCAATTTGTTACCTTTTAACATCACCAGATGGCCCTTGTTCGGGCAGTAAGTGGCGCAGGGCATGGGAGCTGCAAATGGCGCTTTAATTCGCCTAAGCACTTGCTTTGCCGTGATCAAAACCCGATCCCCTTTGTGTATTTTCTTTTTTAAAAATATATTTTTTTATTGATTTCAGAGAGCAAGAAAAAGGGAGAGGGAGAGAGAAAGATCAATGATGAGAGAGAATCATTGATTGGCTGCCTCCTGCACGCCCCCAACTGGGGATTGAGCCTGCAACCTAGGCATGTGCCCTTGACCAGAATCAAACCCGGGACCCTTCAGTCCACAGGCCAACACTCTATCCACTGAGCCAAAAACGGCTAGGGCTGTGTATTTTCTATTGGGCATACACCCTTCCTTAAGTCAGACGATTGGTGTAAAACACATAGTAGGACCAGAGAAAAGGCTCTCCTTGAGACAAATAGTTATTGAGCACCTACTGTGTGCAGGAACTGTTCTATGCATTGGAGAGACAGTTTTGTTCTGAAGGAACTAATTTTCTTTTCTTTAAAAAAATATTTTTATTGATTTCAGAGAGGAAAGTGAGGGAGAGAGACAGAAACATCAACGATGAGAGAGAATCACTGATTGGCTGCCTCCTGTATGCCCCACACTGGGGATCAAGCCTGCAACCCGGGCATGTGCCCTGACCGGGAATGGAACCGTGACTTCCTGGTTCAGAGGTCGACGCTCAACCACTGAGCCACGCTGGCCAGGTTGAAGGAACTAATTTTCAAGAGAGAAGACAAGCAGTAAAATAGTGAATACAGATATAAACTACATGTCGTTGGATGCTCTTAAGGCAGTGGTTCTAAACCTTCTGGCCCTTTAAATACAGTTCCTCATGTTGTGACCCAACCATAACATTATTTTTGTCGCTACTTCATTACTGTAATGTTGCTACTGTGATGAATCGTCATGTAAATATCTGATATGCAGGATGGTCTTAGGCGACCCCTGTGAAAGGGTCGTTTGACCCCCAAAGGGGTCGCGACCCACAGGTTGAGAACTGCTGTCTTAAGGCATATTGGAAAATTAGGAATGGATGCAGGCTTTCTGGGAAGGGGACAGTGGGACTGGCTACCCAGGCGGCATCGATGTGACATTGCTATGAAGGTGACCCCCGGCTTCCAGAACCACGCCCGGCACTAGCCAAGGCTCCATCATTCTTTGCTGAGTGAATGAATGAATGGAGGTTGAGAAGAAAAATCGTCATTGCAGAAATCGCTTTGTGAGTTACCCAAAGACCCAGGAATAACATTTCTGGAGCCTCTGGGTTCTGTAGCTCCGAAGGCTGTTCGGAATTGAAAAAACCAACAACCAGGGGATTTAGTTAATTAGACTCGGTTTCCAGACCTGCCCACATCCCCAGCTGTCTGACCTTGGGCAAGTCACCTAATCTCTCGTCCAAGTGCGCTCACTCGTAGGGAGGGGAGGGCAACTTCCTTCCTTCACAGGGTTGGAGGGTTGGAGGTAAAGTTACCTGGCAGATCTTCAGAAACGGCCAAATGGTGGAGAAACGGTCATTTTTATGGGAGCTGGTTCTCAGAATCCACTACTTCTGCATGTCTCATCCTTTCTGTTCTGCTTTCTTATTCTCTCTGCTCCCTATTGGATCCCTGCCCCTGTCTAAACCACCAGCGGTTCTCAACCTGTGGGTCACGACCCCTTTGCTTTGGCGGTCGAGCGACCCTTTCACAGGGGTCGCCTAAGACCATCCTGCATATCAGATATTTACATGACGATTCATAACAGTAGCAACATTACAGTTATGAAGTAGCCACGAAAATAATTTTATGGTTGGGGGTCACCACAACATGAGGAACTGTATTTAAAGGGCCAGAAGGTTGAGAACCACTGGTCTAAACTCATCAGCGGCATCATGGGACTTCGCTCTCGGCCCCCGAGATGGCTTCAGCAGCGGGATGGGCCTGCATGACATTTTGGTACGTTTCTTAAGGATTTTAAAAATGGGAACGGAAGGAACCATTGCTGGTTAAAACAGTGGACTCGCCCTAGTCGGTTTGGCTCAGTGGATAGAGCGTCGGCCTGCGGACCAAAGGGTCCCAGGTTCGATTCCAGTCAAGGGCACAGACCTCAGTTGCAGGCTCCTCCCTGGTCCGGGTCCTGGTCGGAGTTCGTGCAGGAGGCAACCGATGTGTTTCTCTCACATCGATGTTTCTGTCTTTCCCTCTCTCTTTTCCACTCTCTCTAAAAATCAATGGAAAAAATATCCTCGGGTGAGGATTTAAAAACAAACAAACAAAAACCAATGGCCCAGAGGCCTGTTTCCAGTGTGATCACTTGCTTTTCTCCTGTTTACTGCTGACCCTCTGGGGCAGGATAGCCTCCCATCCCCTAGAGCAGTGACGGCAAACCTATGACACGCGTGTCAGAGGTGACACGCGAACTCATATTTTGGTTGATTTTTCTTTGTTAAATGGCATTTAAATATATAAAGTAAATATCCAAAATATAAGTCTTTGTTTTACTATGGTTGCAAAGATCAAAAAATTTCTCTATGTGACACGCCACCAGAGTTAAGTTAGGGCTTTTCAAAATGCTGACACGCCGAGCTCAAAAGGTTCGCCATCACTGGTCTAGAGGGACAGCAGCCTTGCCTGCGTGTCTGCGGGAATCGTCCCCACAGCGGACAGTGGCTGGAATACGCGGGTCCCACACGCGACAGGCAGGTTCTGCTTCCTCTTGTCATTTTTTTCTAATTGTCCCTTAATTTCCCTTCCTTCCCCCGCCCCCCGCCCCCCGCAGGCAATTTGAAGCGTGCAGCTCTGCATCGCAGTATCTCAGGAAGGCATTTCAAGGAAGACACGGTCAGAGCTGTTTGCACGCCTGGTTCACATTTACTGGCGAGTGGCTCGGGCCTCGGTGCTACCCAGTGGCTGCCAGCGAGGCTCCTCCGGGGAAAAGTGAAATAGGAGAAGCTGCCCCTGGGTGCCCTCACCAGCACTTCCTGTGCCCGTTCCTCTCCTGGCAACACCCCCTCCTTCCCAGAAGCGGGCAGGCCTTTTGCGCGTCCATCTGGAGGCATTTCCTGGGTCCCCCACCCCGGATCGGCCCCCAATGAAAACGAGGTCTCCACGGGGTAATTTTAGAGCCTGCGGCAACTGGGCAGGGCGGCTATTTTGGGCTGCGGGGCTTCTCCTTGACCTGAGATGATGTTACTCGGCTGCCGGGCGCGGCCAGGCCCCGGTGCTGCTCTCGGCTACGTGCCTGCCATTCCTGGGGCCACGTCTCTAAGGCTCTGGGAGCATGTGGTCCGTGCGCACCCACCGGGGCTTGTCACGGGCGGCTCCCGGGGACGGCACAGATGGGACGTGCCCCCCTCCACGTGGGGGGGGACAGTTTCTGGTCTGGTTTTTGCCTGGCCCTCAGCCTCCAAGCTTGATCCATTGCTCAGTGACCCGGGTCACTTCCTCTCTGAGCAAGGTGAGCCGGGCGGGCTCCAGGCCACTGTGTCCGAGCAGCCCTCAGCCAAGGTGTCTCTCTCTCTCTCTCTTTTGGTTAATCCTCACCCTAGGATATTTTTTTCCATTGATTTTTAGAGAGTGGAAGGGAGAGGGAGGTGGCGGGGAGAGAAACATTGATGTGATAGAGACACATTGATTGGTTGCCTCCTCACACGTGTGAGCCCCCTCTGGGCCGGGGATCAAATCTGCCCTTGAAGGGTAATCCAACCAACGTGCACAGGCCGATGCTCTAACCACTGACCCACGCCAGCCAGGCCTAAGGTCTCTCTCTCTTTTTTATAATATATTTTGATTGATTTCAGAGAAGAAGGGAGAGGGAGAGAGAGAGAGATAGAAACATCCATGATGAGAGAGAATCATGGATCGGCTGCCTTCTGCACGCCTCCTACTGGGATCGAGCCCGCAACCCAGGCATGTGCCCTTGACCGGGAATCCAACCATGACCTCCTGGTTCATAGGTCAATGCTCAGCCACTGAGCCACGCAGCCGGGGTGTATCAATATCTTATTTTCCTGTCACCTGTCGCATTTCCCCTGACCTACCTTGGTCCCATCAACCATCCTTTCTTTCCACTACATTCTTCCATAGTCCTAAAATCTCTCCATCTCTCTATCTGCCCTGACCGTCACTCGATCCTTTCTGTGCATGAAAAGAATTACTTCTACTCTCCTTCCTCATTTATTTGCTACGCCACTGACATTTTTTTCAGTCCAATGATCTCTCCCAGCCCTTCCCTGTCCACTCCTCACTTGAAGTGTCTGTTTTCATTTCATTTTACTTCTTATGGCCATTGTCTCCTGCCTTCTACAACCATCTATAATAATAAAAGTGTAATATGCTAATTAGACTGGATGTCCTTCTGGATGAAGCCAGGGCTGCGAGGGAAGCCCGGGTCCCGGGTGCCAGAGGGAAGCCAGTGCCGGCAGCTGGGGGAAGGAAGTCCTACTCTTGCACAAATTTCGTGCATCGGGCCTCTAGTTCCTATATAATTGATTTCAGAGAGAAAGGGAAAGACAGAGAGAGAAACATCAATGATGGGAATCATTGATCGGCTGCCTCCTGCACGCCCCACACTGGGGATGGAGCCCACAACCCGGACATGTGCCCCGGCCAGGAATCGAACCCTGACCTCCTGGTTCATAGGTTGACACTCAACCACTGAGCCACCCCAGCCGGGCAAGAACCATTTCTGATATTCCATGCGGCTCATGTCTTTCTTTTCTGCTCTGACTTGTCTTGTCTTAGGTGCCGTTTGCCCAGCCAAGTGTCACAGGGCAATGGGCCCCGAACACCCAGCGTCTCCATCAGATGCAGCACGGACACCCTCATGGTGGGGCCCGCGCCACAGCCAAGGACTCGTCAGTGGGGTTTGCCGTTCAGCTGCTAACCTTCCTTAGGTAAGACTTTCCTACGTCCCATCATCACTAAAGATACTTGTTCTCTTCATCTGGGCCTTCGCTCTCCAAATATCACCCATTCTAGACATTCATTTAATTTGAAAAAATATTTTTATTTAAAAAAATATTTTTATTGATTTCAGAGAGGAAGGGAGAGGGAGAGACAGATAGAAACATCAATGATGAAAGAGAATCATTGATCAGCTGCCTCCTGCACACCCCCTACTGGGGATCAAGCCTGCAACCTGGGCATGTGACCTTGAGTGGAATCGAACCCAGGACCTTTCAGTCTGCAGGCGGACGGTCTATCCACTGAGCAAAACTGGCCAGGGCTTCAGACATTTGTTTCTGTCCCATCATATCTTCTCTTTGATTACAATTTTGGTGACTGCACAGGGACCACTGTGGATGTGCAAGGGTTCATGGGTGAGTGGAATGTGCTGCTTACGCTCTGGGGTTAAATAGCTCCGAGTTCAAATGCTGCCCTGACACTGTTAGCTGTGTGATTCCGGCAAATTACCTCAACACCTTATGTCTCATTTGTAAGACTGATACCACAATATGGTTAAGTGATATGAACCTAACGTTCCCAGCACATAATCTGTCATATAAGTAAGGGGTCAATAGATTTTGCCCATCGTTAGTAATATCATCATCATAAGTCCTCTGCTATTGCTCACTTCATAGCCCTCATCATTCTCAACATTTAAAAATAGATATTTTTATTTCAGAGAGGAAGGGAGAGGGAGAGAGAGAAACATCAATGATGAGAGAGAATCATGGATCGGCTGCATCCTGTACATCCCCTACTGGGGGTCGAGCCCCCAACCTGGGCATGTGCCCTTGACCGCAATCAACCTGGGACCCTTCAGTCCACAGGCCGACGCTCCCAGGGCCTTAATATACTTTTTTTTTGCATTGCTGAGCATTGTGCTTTTGTAAACCAACGACTCCCCAAATGATCTCTTTCAGATCCTTCCTCCTTACGTATGCATCCTAGAACTTGGAGGCAAAGTTAAACACGTTTCCTTTTGAAAAGACGAATGTAATTTCTGGACGCGATCTATCTGAGAATACGAAGCGAAGTGAGCCCGGGAAGTTGCTTCGCAGAGGCAAACCCTTTAAGAGTCCATGTCACATTTACTGCCATAAAATATTTTTCTCTCTGTGAGACATCTGCTTCCCATTACACGCTGTATTGGGTACTTGAGTCCACCGGCCATTCTGCATACCAAGCAGCGCGTATGTGAAACCCCACCGCCAGCGCCGGTGTGCGTTCTGACCGGGCAATTTTACTTGCGTTTATAAGACAGCCCTTCCGTCATCATTTCTTCCCCATACGCTCTCAGGACTGTTTCGTTTCCAACTTCTCTTAAGGACCAAATTGCCGACGTCTGAGAAATGAAGTTCAAAATGGGGGAGGCTTTGCTTTGCATTCTCTTAAGATGCAACTGTCTATATAACCCAGCGTCGAAACCAACGGAACGTCTCAGCTCGGAGTCTATTTCCTAGTCACACTGACCCAGAAATGAGAAACACAATCCGGGATGTTTGCTAATGAGTCATGAATTTCATGATAATTGCTTCCATATTCTCAGAGCTTCCCTAAACCGGCTAATCTTGACAGATCCCGCAACAATCCCATGTGTTGTAAATGATTTTGTGTTATTTCTTAGGTTACTGTTAAAGGCTTATTTTATGGTTCATTTCATTTTCTTAAAGAAAACCACACACACACACACACATACTGGACGGAGCTTTGGGCTCAATCTATATTTTTAAAAAAAAAATAGCCCTAACCGGTTTAGCTCAGTGGATAGAGCGTCGGCCTGCGGACTGAAAGGTCCCAGGTTCGATTCCGGCCAAGGGCATGTACCTTGGTTGCAGGCATATCCCCAATAGGAGGTGTGCAGGAGGCAGCTGATCGATGTTCCTCTCTCATTGATGTTTCTAACTCTCTATCCCTCTCCCTTCCTCTCTGTGAAAAATCAATAAAATATATTAAAAATAAATAAATAATTAAGAAACCAAAGAAGCCATCATCCTTTGCTTTGGAAATAACAATAAACACATTTAGGAAGAAGGTGGAAATGTGGTCTACTTTTCTTTTTTTAATATTTTTTTTTATTGATTTCAGAGAGGAAGGGAGAGGGAGAGGTAGAAACATCAATGATAAGAATCACTGATCGGCTGCCTCCTCCTGCACGCCCCACACTAGGGATGGAGCCCACAACCCGGGCATGTGCCCTGATGGGGAATCGAACCGTGACCGCCTGGTTCCTAGGTGGATACTCAACCACTGAGCCACATCGGCCGGGGCAGTGTGGTCTACTTTCAATTCGGGTCTCTGAGAATGAAAACCAGGATGGATGTCTCGGGAGGCAGCAAACCGCCCCTCCGTTTCTGGACGTAAGAATCTGTAACTGAATGGATGGACGCCACCCGCATTCCGTACGGTAATAATGGAAAATTAAATGCGACTTTTAAAAACTGCTCCCATTATAAAGTGATCTATTAGCATCACCCGGCTCCGGCACTTAGAGAGACTGATTCTAATTGCCCGACGTGGCCCGTGGCAAGGATGGAAGAGCTGCCGCATCTTGCGGGCACTTCATCTCTTTGGGGATGTTTGCAAGTGAAATCTGCTTCGGAAGGGAGCTTTGTTCCCGCCACACAGAAGACTGTGCTGCGGGAATCTCTTGGTTCGGATGGAACTGGAGGTAATTATCGTTTCTTCTTCTTTGATTCATGAATCAATAAGCCAAATATTTTTATATTTTTAAACACACGCACTCTTGCATTTTCCTCCCTTTCCTTCATGAAGGGAGACTCCGCCTTTTAGCTGGTGGAGGGGATGCTGCAGAAAGATGCTGCCCTCCCTAATGAGCGCTCCCAGTAATCAGCGAGGCATTCTTCGCCTGCACCTGGCCATCCGGCTGCATCCTTCGCCAGCCATCCTGGACCAGCCCGCGGTCGCTAAGACTTCCAAGTTGTACTACTTGTTGTGTCAGTCAGCTTAGAGATGGAAGGTTGTTAAATGCCTGGCAGCTGGCACTGAGATAGAAAACTTAGGACCAGAATTTCTTTCTTTCTTTTGTTTTTGATGGAGAATGGAGAGAGTAGCTAGATTAACCATCTAATTTAGCTCTCAGTGGTGGTTTGAACTGGAATACTAACTCAAGAGGCTTATTTTATAATTTTGTGATTTGAGGTAGAACTCTTTTTCACTTCAGGACATGAAATGAAACAACAGAGTGTACAGCATTGATAGCATCATAAGCGATTTTCTGGTATTGCAAAATTACAAGTTTGTATAAGGAGTATTTATTGACTTTTGTAGAGATGATTAAATTATAATTACAATAGGGAAAATCTAGTTCACTTACACTTTTGAAAATTATTTAATGATTGAGGGACAAAGAATTTAGACATCCCCAGGAATTGAACATACTTGCTAGTTATTTTTCAACTCCTAGGTTTTAAGAAGACATTTAAAGGAAAAAAAATAGCCCTAACCGGTTTAGCTCAGTGGATAGAGCGTCGGCCTGCGGACTGAAAGGTCCCAGGTTCGATTCCGGCCAAGGGCATGTACCTTGGTTGCAGGCATATCCCCAATAGGAGGTGTGCAGGAGGCAGCTGATCGATGTTCCTCTCTCATTGATGTTTCTAACTCTCTATCCCTCTCCCTTCCTCTCTGTGAAAAATCAATAAAATATATTAAAAATAAATAAATAATTAAGAAACCAAAGAAGCCATCATCCTTTGCTTTGGAAATAACAATAAACACATTTAGGAAGAAGGTGGAAATGTGGTCTACTTTTCTTTTTTTAATATTTTTTTTTATTGATTTCAGAGAGGAAGGGAGAGGGAGAGGTAGAAACATCAATGATAAGAATCACTGATCGGCTGCCTCCTCCTGCACGCCCCACACTAGGGATGGAGCCCACAACCCGGGCATGTGCCCTGATGGGGAATCGAACCGTGACCGCCTGGTTCCTAGGTGGATACTCAACCACTGAGCCACATCGGCCGGGGCAGTGTGGTCTACTTTCAATTCGGGTCTCTGAGAATGAAAACCAGGATGGATGTCTCGGGAGGCAGCAAACCGCCCCTCCGTTTCTGGACGTAAGAATCTGTAACTGAATGGATGGACGCCACCCGCATTCCGTACGGTAATAATGGAAAATTAAATGCGACTTTTAAAAACTGCTCCCATTATAAAGTGATCTATTAGCATCACCCGGCTCCGGCACTTAGAGAGACTGATTCTAATTGCCCGACGTGGCCCGTGGCAAGGATGGAAGAGCTGCCGCATCTTGCGGGCACTTCATCTCTTTGGGGATGTTTGCAAGTGAAATCTGCTTCGGAAGGGAGCTTTGTTCCCGCCACACAGAAGACTGTGCTGCGGGAATCTCTTGGTTCGGATGGAACTGGAGGTAATTATCGTTTCTTCTTCTTTGATTCATGAATCAATAAGCCAAATATTTTTAAAAAAACATACACACGCACTCTTGCATTTTCCTCCCTTTCCTTCATGAAGGGAGACTCCGCCTTTTAGCTGGTGGAGGGGATGCTGCAGAAAGATGCTGCCCTCCCTAATGAGCGCTCCCAGTAATCAGCGAGGCATTCTTCGCCTGCACCTGGCCATCCGGCTGCATCCTTCGCCAGCCATCCTGGACCAGCCCGCGGTCGCTAAGACGCTGACGCACTGCGGTACCCACGCTGGGCTCAGTGTAAGCAGGTTCCCACGAACGCAGAGCCACGGGGACACCGGAGCAGGTACACTGCGGAGACGGGCCTGCTAAAGAGCACGCAGCTTTGAGAAAAGGAAGGAAGGCCGCGGGGACTGGCATTCCTGTTCTGAATTGGACTTTCTGTGCGGAGTAGCCACGGGCCTTCTCGTCATTTTCATCATCTGGATTGCAGGAAGCTGATGAGCTGAATGGCACTGGGATTTGCAGCTTTTTATGCCGGAGGAGTCCTTGTTGAACTTGAATGTTTAAGCACTTGAAGCTAAACTGAAATTTTGGCTTAATCTACATGCATACGGACTTTTTTTTTTCTTCAATCCTCACCCAAGGATATATCTCTATTGATTTTTAGAGAGAAGAGGAAGGGATGGCGTGGGGGGCGGAGGGGGGGAGGAGGAGGAGGAGGAGAGAGGGAGAGAGAGAGAGAGAGAGAGAGAGAGAGAGAGAGACACTGATGTGAGAAAGAAACTTCAATCCGTTGCCTCCCATATGTGTCCCCACTGGGGATGGAACCCACAACCTAGGTAGGTGCCCTGACCGAGAACTGAACCCACAACCCTTTGGGGCACAGGTCAATGCTCCAACCAACTGAGCCACCCGGCCAGGGCGCATCTGGCTTCCTTTGAGTTTTACAGGAACAGTTTCCTGTCGCTTGTAATTGCTCTCTCTCTTCCAAAACCTGGAGTCAGCAGAAGGGAGCTGAGATGCTGGATACTGACCTGAATTAGGATACAAGGGAAAGAGAAGAGAAGAGCGTAGCCGTCGGCGCTGTGTTTGGGAAAACATCATTTTGAGGATGTGCTTGAATCAGGCACAAGTAATGCACTGCCTTCTCCCAGCATGCTTTGAATGCCAACCTGGCCAGACCAGGGGGCAGTGCCCAGCATTAGGGCATTACCTCTCCTGCACACCAGCGTGGTGCACGATACCCTCATCTCATCATTACTACTGAAAGGTAATACTATGAGCCCAGCCCGTGTGGCTCAGTGGTTGAACACTGACCTATGAATCAGGGGGTCACGGCTTGATTCCCTGTCGGGGCACATGCCCAGGTTACAGGCTCCATCCCCAGTGTAGGGTGTGCAGGAGGCAGCTGATCCATGATTCTCTCTCATCATTGATGTTTCTCTCTCTCCCTCCTCTCTGAAATCAATAAAAATATATTTAAAAAAAAGAAAGGTGATACTATGAAATATGTTCTAGAAATATATGTGAAAATAAAAATGAAAATCTAACTTTTTTTCTTAAAAATGTTGTCATCTTTGATTTAAAACAGTTTTAAGACACCCGGGAAGTTGGACAAATAACTCAGAGGTTTCTGATTCCCTTCGCTCAGTTTCCCCCCAGATGCACATCTCACATAACCATGGGACCTTGTCAACATCAGGAAATTGATTCAATACTGTTAAACCAGCTACAGCCCTTATTTGGCTCTGACGGTTACATGCATTCTCGTTGTGGGCGTGTGTTAATATGTAGGAATGCATGAACCACCACTGCTAAGGGGTCATCTCTCAGCAGTGAACACTGATGGTATGGAGGGTTCCCAGATCCTGTGGTTTTTACATGCTGTGGCTGACTACAGAGGAGGGAGAGCTGCTTGCGTTAATAAGGATCCTTTATAATAACTGCTTGATCCATACATTAAGGAACCAAATAATAAATCAACCCTATTATCAGGTGCCAACTGAAGATACGACGTTGGCGACATTGGCTCTGCTCTCAAAGACCTCAGAGAAAGAGGAAAAAGTCAACACAACACAGCGTGTTGTATGCCACGTACATATGAGACAAACCAACGTTCCAACTGGACCCGGCATTAGCAATAAAGGGGTCAATGTGATGCATGCCTCTCCTGTCCTGTGGATCTTACTGCTGAGTGGAGTCAAGGCCATTAACAAGGGATGACAACAGAGTGCTCTGACAGGGGGCAGGGGTGTTAGAGAGGGTAGGTCCTTTCCAGGTCAAGGGGTGTAGGAGAGAGCGTCAAG